ACAGGAAATAGACGTCTGCTGTGTATAAGCCGCCCAGTGTGTGCTGTTTGGCAGCTCAAACAGCTCAGACAGTGTGTGAAGTAACTTCAGCCATTTATAGAGGGTTTTTATCTAGAGACTTGGTGTCTACTTTAATAAATACCATGGTTACCAGGAGCCCTAAGTAAGCACAGCATATCAAATCAAACCTAACCGGAAATCAAGTCCTTGCTGGGCACCTATTCACGTGCGTGCACCTATACACAGAATGAAGAAGCATGAGACATTCTCTACCTAAAAAGTTAAAAGCTATTGGAGATCAAGCTGCCACCTGAAACAACATCAAAATCATAATAAATAGGGGGTTCATACCATTAGTGGTAAAAGATTTTGGAAAAGACTCATGAAGGCTAAATATCGAGCTGAATGAGTGGAGAGTTTTTCAGTCATGAAAGAATACTATCTGGAAATGGACCTGTCCTTCCGCTGTAAGCAGCAGTTTCAGAGTAGACAACACATCCCAGGACTGTGATCCCTGAAAGAGCGGAAATCAGTGAGGCAAGCCCTGTGTTCCCCAGTTTCTTTGTGGAGGCGTTTAGCAGATTCCAGTGCACAGAGGGGAAATACAGGGAATGCATTTCCCCAGGCGGGGTCGTGTAGAACGGTGGAGACGTGGATCAGAGTTCAAGGAGGCTGAGACACCTCAATTCTGCGGTGCAGAGCATCAGAGAGAAAGCAGCTATGCAGGAAAAGAGGCCCAGAAATCCACAGAGGGGCCCATTTGCATCTCCGGCTCCGGACCAATCTATGTACTCATAGTGTGAAATTCCACGGGCCAGGCAAAGAATCAGCAGGGGAAGAACAGTGACCAAGGACCTGTGAGCTGAACAACTAGTAAAATTCTCACAGAGGTGGGAGGTGTTCAAGAGCCAAACAATAGTGGAGCTGTAGAGTGGAGAACTCTTTCAACCCCTAGAGAATGCCATGCCTCAGGGAAAGGAGCACTCCAGACCCAGCATAGAGGCTACTCTGGACCTGCCCTGACAAAGTTCTAAAAGCTCCAAAACATCAAACTGTCAGAGCTGAAAGGGGAAGGAGAAAATACACAATTGTATTTGGAGACTTAATGCTCCTCTCACAATGACTGACGGAAAGGTGGACAGAAAATCAATAAGGGCTTAGATTTCTGAAACCAGACCATCAATCAACACGACAATTAATATATTAAAACATCATAGCCACTCACTATACAATCTGTATTCTTTTCAAGGGTATATGGGCTAAGACAAATCAGGTAGTAAACCCAGTTTAGATACATTTAAAATAACTGAAATCAAATAGCATATTCTCTGACCCACAACAAAATGAAGTTTAACATCAGTAACAAACAAAGAAATCTAAAACATCCTCACATAATTGGAAATTTGACACCACGCTTCTGGAACTTCCCTGGCAATCCAGCGGTTAGGACTCTGCCCTGACAGTGTGGGGGTCACGGGTTCAACTCCACGTTGGGGAATGGGGACCCCACGCCACGCAGCACAGCCAGAGGAAAACACTGCGCTTCTAACTAACCCGAAGGTAAAAGAAAATACAAAGGAAATTAGACACCATTTTGAACTGAATGAAAATGAAAACATGACATATCCAAATATGGGACATGCCACTAAATTAGTGTTTAGAGAAAAGTTTAGTATTAAATGCCTATATTTATGAAAAAGAAAATAAAAAATCAAAAATCTAAGCTGACATCATAAGAAGCTAGAAAAAAGAAAAATTAAACCCAAAGTTAGTTGAAGAAAATAGATAACAAAGGTACAAGCAGCAGTCAATAAAAGAGAAAATAAAGAAGCAAAGGAAGAAAAAACAACCTAAGAAATTAAAAACTGGCTCTTTGAAAGATAATTGACACAACTCCAATTATACTAGTAAAGAGAATAGGCACAGACTGGCCATATCAGGAATGTCTTATAGACAATAAAGAAATACTATAAACCAGTTTATGCCACTAGACAACTTATACAAAATGTAGAAATTCCTTGAAAAACACAAACTGCCAAAACTGACATAAGACATTTAAAAATTGGAAAACTCTGTTTCTGGTTAAGTTTCTCGGCCCCGAGTCCTGTTCTCTGACCTGCTTTGTGACACTGGAACTGGGGCCTGTAAACGCTTTCTTTTGCCAGAGAGCGAGGCGGGTACCACAGGGACATTCAGAAGCAAGGAGCTTCCATCCCCAAGACAGTGCGCTTTCTTCTCCCTGCTCCTGTGGCGAGTGACTGACCGCAGCCTCGGGGACACCCTGTGATGCCTCCCTTCCAGGGAGGGCTTGGGACAACCAGTGGCCCTGACCCGCCAGGTATTTTCACCAACACGCCAGCAGTTTTCCCAGAAAAGTCCCACCAGTGCCACAAAGGGTAACTTTCTAAAGTTCAGCAGCCTTCCAGGAGGCGGCTTCCCAGTGAGTCTCAAGTCCACCCCCAAAGCCAGGTTGCTGCTTGCCAGCTGCAGCGGCACCATCTCAGAGGTTCTGGGCCATCCACAGAGCCACGGCCACGCCACCTCCAGAGAGACCCGAATCTCGGCCTTGCCTGGAAACCCTCCTCCAGGTGTGCTCCTTCAAGGACTCTGCCCGGCCAAGAAAGCGGCTGTCTCCAGAGCTGCACTTGTGCATTCTTCAGGGCTCTCTACCTCTTAGTAGTTAATCCTGTCACTAGTAGCAACTCTCTGTGTGAAGTAACTCTGTTTTTCCTGGTGTAGCTTCTGCCTCCTCAGGGAACCTGACTGATACAACCATCAACTCCATCTAAGATTTAAGAAACTCACAAACTCTTTCAAAAAATAAAGAAGAGGAGGGAACACTTGCCAACTGAGTTTATAAAACACCATGCTGGCACTAAAACCAGACAAAGACATTAAGAAAAAGAAAAAAAAACTAGACCCATATTCCATGTAAACATAAACATAAAAACCCTTAACCAAATACCAAGGAATCAAATTCACTACAATATAAACAGGGTAATAAACACCACTTAATCATGATATATCTCAGGAAGGCAAAATTGTTTTAATATTTAAAAATCAAACATGAAATACCATCTTCACAAAATAAAGGAGAAAAATCATATAACTATCTTATTAGGTACATAAAAATCATATAACTTATTAATAAATTGAATCTCTATTCACAATAAAATTCTCCACACACTGGAAATTGAAGGTAACTTTCCCTCGATGAAGGGAATCTACAGAAAAGAAACACTATAGCTAACATCACACTTAATGACAAAAGATACTTCTTCCCTAAGATCAGGAACGCAGCACGGACATCGGTTCTTACCGCGTCTTCCCTACCTTGTACCGGAAGTCCTAGCCAGTGCAGTAAGACACCAGAAACAAAGCAGACCTACGAGAAAGGAAGAAGTAAAACTATCTGTATTCACAGATGATATTATTATCTATGTAGAAAATTCTAAAAAAAAATTTTTTAAAGCTACTAAAATAAGTGAATTTAGTAATGTGGTGGAACTGCAGGTCAACAAAAGAAAATCAACTGTGTCTTGATGTATGCACAACAAAGAACTGAAAAGTAAAATAAGGAGGAACACCATTCACAACAGCATCAAAAAACAAAATATTTAAGGATAAATAAAATATGTATAAAAACTATACAGTGAAAACTACAGAAATTGCTGAGAGATATTATAGAAAGCCTCAAAACATGGAGATGGAACATGATCACAGATTGAAGGGTCGACATTATTAAGATATGCATTCTTCCCATTTGTAATGCTGGTGTGATTCCAATCAAAATTCTAGGAAGGACTTTGTAGGAATACATGGGTCTAAAACTGATGGAAATGTAAAGGATCTAGATTATTCAAAACAACTTTGAAGGACAAAGTTGGAGGATATAAGCTGAGCTCACATTCTACTGTTCGTCACCTCCACTGTATAATCATAAGGGTTTGATTTAGACCATATGTGAATGGCCTAGCGGTCTTCCCTACTTTCCTCAAGTTAAGCCCAAATTTTGTGGATGATGTGAGCCACAGTCAGATCCAGATCTTGTTTTTGCTAACTGTACAGAGCTTCTCCATCTTCAGCTGCAAAGAACATAATCAATATGATTTCGGTATTGACCATTTGGTGATGTCTATGTGTAGAGTCATCTGCGTTGTTGGAAAGGGTGTTTGCTAACGAAGAAAATGTGGTATTTGCCTAAAGACAGACATAGATATCAGTAGAACAGAATAGAGAGTCTATTATTAGTTGTACACATGTATGGTCAATTGATTTTTGACAAAGGAAGTCTTTTCAACAAATGATGCTGGAGAAACTGAATATTCACACAGGAAGAATATGAACCTCAATCCTCATCTCTCTTCATATAACAAAAAGTAACACACAGGGGATCACAGATCTGAATACGAAAACTAAATACACTAAGATTCTAGACAACAAAGAAGAAAACATCCTTGTGAACTTGGGCCAAACAAAGATTTCTTAGGACACCAAAAACACACCTATCATAAAAGGAAAAAAACTACAAATTGGACTTCCAAATTCAAATTTTGTACTTTTCAAAAGATATAGACTTGAAGAAAAATCTACAAAATACATATCTGAGTTTAGAAAACAATTGTACCTGAAATGTAGAGAGACCTCTTACAACTCAATAATAAGACAAAGAACCATATTTTTTAAACGAGCAAAAGATTTGAACAAATACTTCACGAAAATATATGAATGGGAAATAAGCCCTTGAAAAGATGCCTAGCAGGTAATGAACCTACTACACAGTCACAAGAAAGGGTTAAAATTAAAAGTAATAATAACAGGAAGATAGAGCAACTGAAATTCTCAAACAATTCTAATGTACAAAATCATATAATTAACTTGGAAATGTTTGATAGTTTCTTATAAAGTTGAACACACACTTCCCAATAAGATCTAGCAATTTCACTTCTTGGCATGTACCCAAGAAAAATGAAAACATATGTCCACACAAAAGCTTGTACTCGAATGTTCATAACTTTATTTGTAATTCTAAAAGCTGGGGGAACAAATTGTGGTATACCCCTTCAACAGTAAATCATTGATATATATAGCACATAAACAAATGTCAAAAACTTCATGATAAGTAAAAAAAATTATTCATAAAAGAGTACAAAGTGTATGATACCGTTTTTATAATGTTTCAGAACAAGGAAAATTTATCAACAGTGACAGAAATCAGATCAATGATTGCCTGGGATCAGGGTGGGGTGAGGGTAAATGACTGCACAGGTATAAGAGAGAACTTTCTGGAGTAACGAAACCATTTGATATCTTGGTTTATCCATTTACCAAGACTCATGGAACTGAATACTTAAAATGCAAACATTTTACTATATGTAAATTATACCTCAATAAAGTTAATTTTAAAAAACATGTAGTGACCTAAACTGGAAATCACTTAGACTGGTTTTAATTTAAAAATTTTCCTCTGTAACCTGATTTATTCTAAAATTTAGTTTCTTGTCTCTAACAATAATACAAAACTTCATGTCAATTTAGCCTACATTAAATCATTATAAATTCCAAAACTGTAGAATTAGTTCAATGAACTTTTAAACCTTCATTATTAAAAAAAAAAAAAACAAAATTTATTTTATCCACATGAATAACTGATTTGCTTCAAGGGGGTACACTAATGATTAGATACAAATTATAAAGCATGAGAAACATTCCCACCTACACTTGAACATATTTGTACTTCAATTAAATAAATACTTCTAACCACAACAAAATATTAGAGGATGATCCAGTTCTATAAACCAGCAAAAGGTTAGGCGATCATCTTCCAGGCACAAGGAGATGGAAGTATTCATTAGTTATTTTAGTTTATCACCAATGCCAGAAGAGAAGTCAGACCAGAAAGTTACATCGAAATGAAACAAAAAATGTGCTACAATTTTACCTTTGGACCCACTAACAGCACTGGCTACATGCCAGGGAGCTTTCTTCCTCCTTCCAGTCACCCGGAAAACGTTCACAGAGTTGTAAGGGTCACAAGACTAAAAGCTAGACCCAAAAGAATAAAAAAAAAAATGCAGGTAACCCAATTAATCTGCTAATATTTATTACTGTAGAAATATCTTTAGAGGTAGTTATTAATGAGTTATTTTTCAAATCATCTCACTCATCGTAATTCAAAAATATATCACTTTAAAAAGGAAAAGAAAAAAATACTTTTCAGAGTGCAGGCATAACATGTTGGAGTGGTTTCTGCACAGCAGTGCTTCCAGGGTCTGCAGCTTCCTATGAGGGCAGCACGGCCCCCGATGAGGACACACGGTGAGTGTCCTCACCATGACGAGCACGTCCTGGCCATCTGCACGGGCAAGTAAGATGACGAAAGCTCCCTCAGCATTAACACAAGGCCTCGGGGTCTAACACCCTAGCCACTCCCAAGGATGGGACCCATGTACTTCGTGTCCTCTGTATGGGACACATCCGGTCATGTTAAAGCTTCATCTGTTTCCCCTTGGAATTAGTTCTAAAATAATCTTCAAGAGGCTCAGCAAAAATATATTTTTCTCCCCATTTCCTCTTAATTATTTTTCGCCTCTGAAAGGCTCCTATATTGATCATCAAAACGAGAATTGGCTCTGAACCAAAACCAAAAAGAAGGACAATGCAGAGTGTCCCACGGCCCTCTGTGGATTAGTGCGAGGCTTCCACACGGAAGTTGTCAAACTGCGCGAATTCAAAGGAGTGAGTCCCAATTGCGGCCCAGCCGTTTCCTGGGAAGTTCACAGAGATGTTCTTCCAGAGGGTCTTGCCATTCAGCTTGCCGGAGGAGGAGCGACCCTGGAGTGGAGAGAGACATGGGAAAACGGTCCTCTGAAGCCTGCTGCTCAGGGGAAGGCCCACCCACTCAGTGCAGCAAACATTCTTCTCACGCAAGACTCATCAAGGCAAAACGATCCCACAACTTCGAGCAGTTTGAAATGCAGGGGAAATTTTCTCAAAGAAAATTCTCATCTATTTATATAAACAGTTCTCAAGGCACAAGAATACCTCAATATTTCCTGTACTCCCCCAAAATGCTGCAAAATCTTCAGGAATGTAACACTTTTCATAACATTATGATAAAATTGTAGACAAAAGCTCACTAAAACACATTTCTTATTTACAGGTAGCTGCAATTACGTCCTTTGTAGCTTACAGCTACCAGCTCTTCAGACAGGACTACAGGGGCCAAGATGTTTATTTAAGGTCTTCATTAAAGAGCATCAGCCCAGCCAGGAGAAGAGTAATTAACCTTCATTTTATTGTTTTATCCTCATGTATAGAATATCACTTCAAGGTCATATCAAAAGCTCACCCTTATGTTAGAAAAACAGTAACCAGCATTTAAACTGGTGATAGGAGGGGCAGGGGGAGTGAATGGAAGAGAGAAATATCCGCAGGAACAACGTACTGGTCACTGACAGAGAAAGATAAATGTGACACCTTGCTCAGACGCTGCCCTTCCTACTTAGCTAAGTGCCTGGCACACAGCTCTTACCATTATTACAACTTGCTTGTGAGCAAACATTCACAACACACTCCTTCCAGCCACATTTAAAACTAGCTAATTTCAAAAGGGTGAAAAGCAGAAGATCCGAAGCACTAGGTGGAGTCAGAATAAAATATGCTCTTGAGTCCCACACTTACAATGGAATGGGCCTTCATTTAGTTCTTATGTTTTATGGCTGCAGACATGGTGACAAGCAACCAGAATCACAGATTTACCAGCGATGCTCAGACCTGAATTTGAGTTGCCCAACTCCACATGCAGAGCCACATACGCTCCCATTACTGCACACCTCACAGCAATCCAGCTCCAGCTCTGAAAGTGCTTGTTCGCCACTGAGGGACTGGTGACTATTACACTGAGCCCGGGGCTCCAGCACACAAACCACAATAAGCACAGACGCTCCTCTCCCTGCCCCGCCCCCGGCATCGGCTGCCCAAGCCTCTGGCCACTCCCACTCGGCCAGTCAGAGCTCGCCCTTCGCTCAGACCTCAGCTCGGCCACCACCTCCAAGAGGCCTTCCCTGACTGCTATCTGGAGAATCTGGCAGGGAAGCCACTTTATCTCATTATCCCATTTTTACCTTCACAGTTTTATTTGCTTATTTATAGCAGGAGTCAGCCGGCTCTGGCCCACAGCCCAGCCACCTATTTTTATAAATTCAGTGGAACACAGCCACTCCTGTTCCTCCACCTACTGTCAAAGGCTGCACTCTCGCTACAAAAGCAGAGCTGAAGAACTGCAAAATACACCATAGGGCGCTCAAGGCCTAAAATAGTTCCTCTTTGGCACCTTACAGAAAAAAAAAAAAAAAGCTTAATAACTCCTGTCCCAGAAGAACAGAGGCTCTGAGAGAGCAGGAATCTTGCCTGTCTAGTTCACTACTGTATCCCTAGTATTTAGAACAGTACACATAGTAGACACTTGATAAAAATGTGTCGAATGAAAAAAAAAAAATCATCTAACTCTCAAACAACCCACAGAGCTTACTTCCATTTTAAAGACAAGGACACAGAGGTTCACAAAGGTAAAATAACCCAGACACACGCTAGCATCCCAAGGACTGGTGGTTTGCTGGTATCATGGCAGGCTCTCTGCCTGTTTTCCACTGTTTATCACACTTTCCCAGTCTCATCTGATAACATAAAATGTTAACCAAAAAAAAAAAAAAGACACAAGAAAAGAACATTTTACCTCCAGGAACTGGGATCGGCAATACTTACATTCAGAGTTAAAGTGAGTGTATACCATTTTTTTGCTGTAACATCAGCATGTCCTAAACTATATATGATCCATCCAGCTGTAACACAAAAAGATTATCCTAGTTGACATATTTTTAAAATCTAAATCACTGAGTCACATAACTCATTGGGGGTTCTTAGGTGCATCCGTATGTAGTAAAGTCAGTCATAATAAAGATCGACATTTCCAAGATCTACAACTGATTTAAAACAAAAAACACCCTTCATTGAGGAATGCATTCAACATGCAGAGATCCTACCCTGAGCCATATACAATACATGAGCTCACAAGAGAATGAGCAAAATAAACTTACAAATCAAGCAGGGTACACAATGCTTTAGAATGTATATTCAGGTCTGTATGTATACCTGATTGGACCAGATATGGAAGATAAGCAGGAACAGTCAAAAAACTACCATAAGACTTCCAGCTAGTGTAACTGACATTAGAGAATTAGAGAGAAAATAATGTCAGTTTTTGAATGTATTATATTTGAATGCCTGATGGAAACCCAGGATGAGATGTTCAATGGGCAGTTTAAGACACAAGGCAGTGAGGACTGAAGACAGATTTAAATCTCTAGTTCCACTTCTTCCACTACTTCATTTTGAGACCTTCAGCAAATCAATTAACCTCTCTGGCACTCTCTTTTGGACTGGAAAATTCGAGGTACCTTCCAGACCAGTCATGCTACGATTATGCAATTTCTATTCTAATATCCTTATTACCCACTCACTCTTTAACTTCTATTTTATCATTGGAGCCCTTTAACCTAAGGAAGAAGCAGAGGGGGAAAACAATAGGAGAGAAGATTTTTTATTAATGCAGGATGAAAGTCAAGAGACTTTGAATCAGAAAGAGTCACCAATAAGATCTAGTTTAAACAGATCTTGATTTGGTGTGTACCCAAACCAAAGTGAAGTGGGTGGAATTCAACTTGAACAGATTCTAAGTATCTATTCTAGATAAAATACTATTGTACGTAAGACAGAGACTGTTAAGATGAATAATAAAGTCAAGCTGTTTTCAAGTTATTGACTAAATTAGGAAATAGGGGATCTCCATTTTAAGCAAGTTAATTCTTCCCTTTATATTTCCATAAGCACAGCAGCAACATTCCCATAGTTTTACTTTTTTTAAAATTTCCTGAGTATTCTCTCCTTACCCCCACGCCCTACTCTAACAGCCTAGCTCAAGTCTACAGTACCCGAGAGACTGTGCACAATTTCCTCTTTCACTGGGCTGCCTCTGTACTAATTAATTAACACTATAATTTGGAATCATCTGGTGTTTGCTTACACACGTTGAATCTCTTCCCAATTAGATGCTCAAACACGGTGAGGTATTTCATTACTCCCACAGGTAACAAGCAGACACTCACAGCAACGTATCACATAGTAAATCATGCGCTACAGAAGAAACCACTTACCTAGATCGCCTGTGACTCTGTAGGTTCCATTTGCAAAAATCCAGAAGAAAATCCCCCTGGCACTTCTAATCAAAATACCACCTTTATTGACTCTTCCAGCAATGAACACGCCTCCCTTCTCAGGGGTCTCTATGTACACATCGCACTTTATAGTCAGATTGGACCTGCAGAAGCAGAGTGTTAGCACTTGTAATTATGTCATTGCAAATGCAGCACCAATGCTCACCTCACAGTCACATGCTTCCAAACTTCTAATTGAGGGGAGTATGTGTTTCGCCAAGTCCACATTAACAGCAGGTAGGGGCTTCAAGAACCTTCCCCGATAATGGTTTTAAATTTTACATGACTAAAGTCAAGTCATTTCATTGCCTCTCTTTAATGACTTACTATTGGAAAATAAAACTTACTGTTTTCAAGTTTCCTAAGAATGCATCTCCTGTATTTCTATAATAAAATAACTTCTCATTCTAAGAATATAATAAGAATCCATTTTTTTCTAGGAATACATAAAAAATAGGTTTCCATGTAAGTCTGAGCAAAAAGGTTTATTACATTTACATCAGCAAAGAGAAGCAGTGAAGACTACATATTAGGAGCCTCTGGGAAAAGTTACTTTGAGGCTGATTTTTACATTTAACCCTAACAAGACTTAGAAATGACAGAAGAAAGATCTAAAATTATTTTCTCTGTCAAGTCAGAGTCAACTGTACCTTGAATCTACAGCGGGCATTTTCAGACTGCGCCCCACGGAAATCACCCTGGAGGGGGTGTTTGATTCTGCCTGCCGGCCCCACCCTCAGGGTCTGACTCAGCAGGTGTAGGGTGGGCCCTTGGACCTGCGTGTCTAACAGACTGCCAGGTGACGCTGATGCCGCAGGTCCAGGAACCTCACTCTGAGAACCATTTTCCCCTACAGGGTATCTTTATGAACAGGCAGTAAAATCCCGGTTTTGGCAGTGCTGACTGACAGAGTGTATCAAGGAAGAGAAGGATTCAGCCAACCAGGAGCTCTCCTCCGGGCTTCCTTTCACAAATGCGACCAGATTTGCTTTGTAGTTATTTGTTGTTGTCTAGTTGCTAAGTCGTGTCCAACTCTTTTGACCCCAAGAACTGCAGCCCACCATGCTTCCCTGTCCATGGAAGTCTCCAGGCAAGACTACTGGAGTGGGTTGCCACTGCCTTCTCCAAGGGATCTTCCTGACCCAGAGATCAAACCCACATCTCTTGCACTGGCAGGCAGATTCTTTACCTCTGCGTCACCAGGGAAGCCCACCATCACCTCAATCCAACATGACGTTTGAAAACAATTCCCCTGCTATTCAAATCTGAAGTGCAAATGGGAAAGAATTAGCTTGCACACAGCCACGCAATAAAGCAAGCAATTTATCTAAAACTAAGAATGCCAAGAAATATATTTATCGAAATGGGGATAACAGGTCTAGAATTATGTGCTTTTCACATTTTTCATCAGTGAATTTTGCAGTGAAATGTTACTTTGTAAAGGAAAATATAAAAAAGAAGCACCTACGACAGGTACACAACCACCAGAAAAACCCTCATTTAATCGTTTACTCAAAGCTGGGCCACTTCACAGGAAGACCAGTGCTAAGGAGCTGCAGCCCAGTCTGCCCTGTGCGTCCTCCCACCGCAGAGACTGCTCTTCTCTTCACCAGCAGCACGAAACCGCCAGGGTCGGACTGCTCCTTAAATCCCCTGCCTCTCTGTCGGTTCATCAGAAGCTGTCAGCACCATAAACTCACTCTATTTAGTGTGAAAGTGAGGGAAGATCAAATGTTTTCCTTTTTTACATCACATTCCATAATAAACAATTCTTGCATCAGAACTTACAGGCAATTTTACAGATAATGAGTAAAATAGAATAAAAGTTTGGCTTCATCTTCCATAGTCATAACCCATCAGAAGTGCTGACAGAATAAAAACCAGCCAACATATTAAGTAAATTTGATCAAAAGGATTCAGAGTTCAGGTCTGTTCAGAAAAAAGATAGTTTTGTGATTGTCCTCAGATCCCAGCCAAAGCTTGCTAATGAGATGAAAGTCTGAAGTAGCTTTGGGAAAGTCCACCCTCTATAGTCAAACTACTGTGCTGACACTTAACTCAATCTAAATGTGAGGGAAGTTCTGTTCTAAACACCGTTCTAAAAACTAATGGCACCCTGCATGCATACAGCTGACTGGACTAGCACTATGGATACACTCTGCTAACTTTCTGTTTCTTGCCCTCAGGGAGAAGACAGTGATTAAAACAAGGCTGTGAGAGGAAGTCCAAGGAGCAGGGGCTCCAGCACAGGACAGACCTGGCCTCTTGCCCTGGTTCTGGAATTTAAAAGTATGGGATCTTGAACAATCTTACCCCATGCCTCAGGTTCCCAGTCTGTAAGGCAAGTAGGGTGCTGCCTTCAGCATAAAGCAGCCATGGGAAGCACAGACCAGTGTTCAGTGTTACCCAGCTTTCACCCCCTCCGCTCCCTGCAATAAACGGGCATCACGGGCAGAGAGCAGAAATGAACATGGGATGTGTGTTCATCTCTCAACAGATCTGGCTCCCCTGCACCCAGAACAGGATAATGAGAAGCAACACAAAGTAAACAGGATGAGAGCAAATTTTAAAAGATTTTGGAATCAGGCCCAGAAGTGTGGCTCGGGTCCGGCCTCAGGCAAGGGTCGCGGCATACTCCTGAGCAGTGAAACAACAGGAGGAGGGCAGAGTGTAAGAAGGACGGAAGCAGTCCTCTCTCGACGTGCGTGATTGTGATTTCCTGGTTCTTTTTCTTTCAGAATATGTCACTCTTTCCTTCTCTCCCCACTTCACTTCATCATTCCCTTCCCTATCTCCTTCCCCACTGCAATAGTAAAGATTCAGTACTGCTATGTAAATACTGCAAAACCTTCACAGTTACAAAGAGTTTTGGTTAATCCTTGGATGGTGTTCTATATCATCTCTCTACTACAATGAAATTCTCTCAACTTTTGTAGAGTCTCAGCCAGAAACAAAAGATTTGGGGTTCAGAGAGAACTTCATGTAGAATATTCACAGGCATGGGGGATAAGGGTTGGCCCACAAAGTTAAAGGTTATCTATGGCAGCTTCCTTCCAGACTAGTGGTCAAAATATAACAAGGCCCATCCTTTAGACAAATAAACTCAGTCACCTGTCTTACAATAAGACCATTAGTTAAAAAAAAAAAAGGAAATCACAAAGCCCACTGACATGACCAGAATATCCAGATAAAGTGTCTAGTACAGAGATCAAATTGCCAACATCCGTTGGATCATCAAGAAAGCAAGAGAGTTCCAGAAAACCATCTACTTCTGCTTTATTGACTATGCCAAAGCCTTTGACTGTGTGGATCACAACAAACTGTGGAAAATTCTTCAACACATGAGAATACCAGACCACCTTACCTGCCTCCCTGAGAAATCTGTATACAGGTCAGGAAGCAAGTTTGAACTGGACATGGAACAACAGACTGGCTCCAAATTGGGAAAGGAGTCTGTCAAGGCTGTATATTGTCACCCTGTTTAACTTATATGCAGAGTACATCATGTGAAATGCCAGGCTAGATGAAGCACAAGCTGGAATCAAGATTGTCAGGAGCAATATCAATAACCTCAGATATGCAGATTACACATTTATGGCAGAAAGTGAAAAGGAACTAAAAAAAGGCCTCTTGATGAAAGTGAAAGAGGAGAGTGAAAAAGTTAGCTTACAACTCAACATTCAGAAAACTAAGATCATGGCATCCGGTCCCATCACTTCAAGGCAAATAGATGGGAAACAGTGGAAACACGGAGAGACTTTATTTTCTTGGGCTACAAAATCCCTGAAGACGGTGACTGCAGCCATGAAATTAAAAGACACTCACTCCTTGGAAGAAAAGCTATGACCAACCTTGATGGCATATTAAAGAGCAGAGACATTACTTTGCTGACAAAGGTCCATCTAGTCAAAGCTACGGTTTTTCCAGTAGTCATGTGTGAATGTGAGAGTTGGACTATAAAGAAAGCTGAGCGTCAAAGAATTGATGCTTTTGAACTGTGGTGTTGCAGAAGACTTTTGAGAGTCCCTTGGACTTCAAGGAGATCTAACCAGTCCATCCTAAAGGAAATCAGTCCTGAATATTCATTGGAAGGACTGATGTTGAAGCTGAAACTCTAATACTTTGGCCACCTGATGTGAAGAACTGACTCATTGGAAAAGACCCTGATGCTGGGAAAGATTGAAGGTTGGAGGAGAAGGGAACAACAGAGGATGAGATGGTTGGATGGCATCACTGACTCAATGGACATGAGTTTGAGCAAGCTCCAGGAGTTGGTGATAGACAGGAAAGCCTGGCATGCTATAGTCCATGGGGTTTCAAAGAGTCGGACAAGACTGAGCAACTGAACTGAACAGAGATGCTGGTATAAACAGTATTTCTGTTGTGTAAAAAGATAATCCATCAAAGTTATCCTAAATTAGGTAAGAATTCTTCATCTTAATAATTCTTCACAGTGCTATAACGGTTCCAGGAACTTTGGATAACTGAAAGTTTCTCAAGACTTATATCAGAGCTTTCGACTAGAACTTCATTTTACAACACAGAATAAGGCTCTGCAAAGGGATAAAGACTTTCTGCAGCATTCCTCAAATAAACAATTCAAGGCTCTCTTCCAAATTATCTTCCCTTCCCTGTCCAATTTCCAAGCTACAGATATGGCTATTTTGTGACTTTGCATTAATAATTACTATCACTGAGGATGAAATGCTCGTATTTTATGTTTCACAGTGTAAGTATACTAGTTAAATTCACTAGCCAACTGAAAGCTGATTTGCTTTTTACTATTGCCATCTACTGTCACCTTGTAAACAGATTTTGCACAAAGGCTAAAACAGTGTAATTCAAGTATGAATCCAGCAGGTGGCAACACCAGATCAACATATCAACTCTCCAGCAAAAACAAAATCTTAAAAACATGCATATCATAAAGTCCGCTTATACATAAATTTTAAATTATAATTTGGTCCAATGCCCTCAGATTTCACATTAAAACCAAGTCTTATCCCGCAACGATTACTATTAAATTGGGGAAATCTGAGGGAAGGACGCCGAACAACAACAAAACAACTGGCTGGTTTGTGCCCACTGTGATATTCAACAGTTATCACATACCCGTTAGACTCCCAGAAAAGGAGGGCTGCTGCGGAGTCCTGGCTTCAGAAAGTACTTGATGACATTACAAGGTTATTTCGCCAGATCTATGGTAAAGACTAGGTCAGTTTTACGTACCACGTGTAATCCCCGATAACGCTGATGGTGTTGAAGGCGTCGGCAGCCCACGTGATGGGCCTCTGATTGAGAACCTGGCGCAATGTGAAGCGATGGTCTCCAGGGTCTTCCATATTCACGTAGTATTCAAACACCCCGGTCTGGTCAGCAAAATTTGGAGCTTCACTAAAAAATGGGTAATCTGTTCAGAACACAATAAATTGTGTGTTGAGTTATCAAATCCTTACAGCATCTCTCCTAATGTTTTCTGGTACATTCTAATATACTTTTGAAAAGTTTTAAATTGGCAAATGATATTTTTTATTGTTGTTCAGTTGCTAAGTCATGTCCAACTCTTTGTGACCCCATGAACTACAGCATGCCAAACTGCCCATGGGATTTCCCAGGCAAGAATACTGGAATGGGTTGTCATTTCTTTCTCTAGGGGATGTTACCGACCCAGGGATTGAACCCATATCTCCTGCATTGGCAGACAGATTCTTTAACACTGAGCTACCAGGGAAATGATACTTATAAATAGTCAAAGGGTAGGGTTTAGGTAATTAAAGAGCTACTGACTTTATGTAATCTTTATTAAATATCAATATGATCAGTCTGACATACAGACTTTACATAGTCAATCCATGCAAATGCTTAAGAGGAAAGATCTTGAGTTCAAGAACATGCAGACCCGGGTTCAAAGTCTAGCTCAGTCAGTTCCCCAGGCAAGTTACTTAACTGCCCTGACTTCCAAGTTTCCAATGGTATGAAAGCGGTATGCATTCAGTAGAAAGTGTACCTCAAATTCTGAATTTTGATGAGCATACCCTCTCGTGATGTGAGCAGTGGCAGTGAGCAGCAAAAAGCCACAGCCCCGTCAGCCACACAGTCACGAAGGATAAACAACAGAGTCACTGAGAAGCATTCTGGCCCCTGACAACCATCCTGGGCTCACTTTCTTCACAGTGTCAGAGGCGACAGGAGACATGCCACACCTCTTTGGGCTTTGTGGTAGACGATTCTCCCCAGCTGCTGGGTCACGGAAGTGTTCGGAGCACACTGAAGGTAGGCCGACTGCGTTAACAGGTTTGGTAGGCTAAATATATCGAAGTACATGAAGCACGTTTCTGATTTACGGTATTTTCAACTTATGGTGGGTTTATCAGGACCTAACCCTACTGTAAGTTGAGTAAGGGCTGTACAACTTCCATTCCAACAATAACCTCTAAATTTTTTCTGGCACTGAGAATTACAGGGCCCTCAAGTTGTGATGTTACTTGGAAATAACAGAGAAATTAGGTCCCTTTTACCACATACAGATTTAGAACTAAATCAATGTACTTCTCGCAGACTCCATCTAGCACCACTTTGATAGGTAGAAATCTATCCATTACCGCTGAAAGTGGGAACCAAGTTAGGTGTCAGTACAAAGACTCACCAATGTTGAAGTTATCCTCATAGACAGACGGGAAGCGCTGGGACTTGGGAGGCGACGGGAAGCTGCCTTTGCGGCCGGAGGTGAGCGTGGTGAGGGTGAACAGCTCGTCCTCCTGCAGCTCCAGCGTGAAGCTGCCACCGCTGTCGAGGAGCTGAGAGAGAAACGACGCTGTGGTCAAGCCAGGCGCCTCGGCTCATCTCACTCGAGTCAAATAGCTTTTTAAAAAATGAGCTTAAGAAATGCCAAAGTGATTTCTGTTGGAAGTCCCTAATTATTTGTTAATATACACACTCAATACCAAGGCCCTGGAAATCTTTTTTCTTAAGTTTTTTAGAAGACTTTATACAATTGCATTCTAGAAAGGATATTAGGAGAATTTCACTTCATACGAGGAAGAAGGAACAGATGATTCCCAAATCTATTTCTATCAGTCTATGCTTTTCCATTAGACTGTAAGATCTTTAAAGCCTGTGTATAAATTCAATATATGTACCTATGAGATCTGCTTATTTATTTTTTAGGACTTCACTAAGGTAGAAAAATCTGTAAAATCTTACTGTTGACTCAGCTATTAAACACAGAAAACCTTACTATTAATTAAAAAAAGTCCTACCTACTCATTACATGTTCAATACACATTTCAATTAGCAAACTAGGTTTATATTTTGGCAATTTAATCTCTTAAAGCCATAATCGCTTCATCTCTAAAATGAGTAGAAAATACTACCACATAGGGCTGTTGTGAGTATTAAATGAGACAATATTTATAAAGTTCTAAGCTCAGTGAGTGACCCAGAAGAAACATTCCCTACATCATAGGTGTCCTACGGCAAATACAGGCCTCTAAAGACAGTGAAAGCGTTTGCATAACTGATGTTGGCACTAAATGTGGGTCCACTTAATGAAATCTGAGCAGCTCTCCTTTTCTACTTTGAATTAAATGTGTTTATATCACACCCTAGCTTTAATAGATTGTTGGTCAGATCTATGACATATCTAATACCATATTCTGGCTTAGGAATAACCCTAAATGATACATTTTTCTTATGGGAAAATCAATTTCATGATACTATTTCTAGCAATGTGTCGTACAAAAAGTAGATGCCACACTTACTTCATTTATTGATAGTGACTAGTTGAGTCATAGAACATTAGTAATTACCAGAAAAAGTAGATTTGTGTCAATTAGGTGAAGTGATGTGCTTGCACAGACCAATTCAGTCTTTGAAACATTTACTGATAAGAAACCACCATTTACTAAGCTCCACACTAGGCACCTGGGACAAAAAGGCAGGGACCTTTAAGGATGTATAAGGTGGGGACTCAATCATCGAGGCATCCAGTGCAGCGGGGATGTGCTTACTAGGCAAACACATATCCCCAGGTGGCTATGACCCTAAGACTGGTGGGAAGGCTTCAGAGAAAGCCACACTTGGGCTGAGTCTTGAAGGATGATAAAAATACAAACAGAAGGCATTACAGGAGGAAGAAAAATCATGTGCAAAGTCACAGAAGTAATTAACTTGGCATACCCATGCTCTGAAAATTGCAAGAAGTTTAGTGTGAGAAGAAAGATCAATTTAGTAGGACAGGCCTCTAGAAAAGAAAGCATTCTTAAAAAAATAATAATAAAAAAATGAAAAAGAAAGCATTTTTACCTATGAGGTATTAATGAGGTCACATGTTACACTAAGGAATGTAAACTGAAAAAACCATTAAGGCATTTGAGCAGAGGACAGACAAAAGCCAGCTCTGGGAGCAGTGCGATGTTTGGCAGAGAGACTTAAAAGAGCGAGAGAGCTTCTGAAATCCAAGAGAGATATAATGAGGGACTGAACAAGCAGGGGCAATAGGAATGGAGAACAAGGCATGGGCAGGAGGACTATGTGGGTGATACTGTCTTTACTTGATCACTGAGGGTATTCAAAGAATGGGTGGGAATGACAGTCTCAAATGAGACTCAAATTTCTGACCTGGGCAACTAAGTGATGGTACCATTCACCAAGACACACTACACATCAAGAGCAAACCCATCCACCAAAACATCCTTCCTTGAAGAGGCCTTCTATTTTAAAAAATGGGGGGCAACTTTATCTCTATTATGCTTCAGCCATAAATCAATTATGAAATTAAAAACTAATTCATTAATCAAATTTCTGTCCCTTCTACTGCTGCAATGCTCAAACTGTAGGAATTTATTTAACACTACCCATAGAGAGTCCAGTTGTTTGAAGAGAAACCTCTCTGGTGGTTTTCCGAGCTTGGTATACCACACCTGCAGCTCTGGTATTTCACTCTGAGGAGGAAACACAAGGACAGCACTGTTGAGTGATTCACCATCTTCTCTTGGAGGACTTCCAAAACCTGTACCAGTAAGAATGCACCAGGGACAATGTGCACTCCATCTCTACCTACCCAAAGACCCAGCTCAAACCTTAAGTAATAATCATTTCAAAAGTACGAAGACATTATTCAAGCAAATACTTTATTTCCTACAAACACTGCAGATTTTTGGCAAATGTTTAAAAATATTTGTATCTTTGCTTCAAAAATACTCATTATTATTATACCTATATAAAAAGCTTTTTAAGAATTTCCTGGCATTAAAAAACAATGCTTATGCAATTAGTAGAAAGTGCACTGTATGTATTTCTGTATTCAAATCTGACAATAGGTCGAAATAACAAGAATTTTGTATCTTTTTATATAGAATGTTGTAAAGAGCAGTGCTGGAAAGCTTCTTCAACTACACAAATGATGCTCTACCAGAAAGAATAACCTTCTTGCAAGTGACTTTTGTCAGGATTCTTCAAAACCACTAAGAGCATTACCTCCTAGTGGCTTCTGTACTTCCTGACTAAAACCAGTCAGCAAAGAGAACACACCAAGGCATTTAACGATGCATATGCAAACTCTTAATAGCTTACAATATTTCACTTAAAACCTCTTAGCTCATGATAAAATATATAAATTCTCAAATCAAAACCAAAATAAAAGTTCCACTTATTTACTTACAAAAGAACCCTTAAGATCGAACGTAGCAAACTGATGTGACACATTGAAATAGGGAAGAAGTGGTCGTATACACTTGGAATGTTTATGACTCTAAGGAGAAAAAAAATCATGTAAGTTATTTAGATGACACATAGGACATTTTAAAGAGAAAGTCATTTACTGCACCCAGATTAACAGAAGTGACACACACCAGGTGACAAAGAGCGAAACATGTATACTATCAAGGGTGAAACAGATCGCCAGCCCAGGTTGGTAGCATGAGACAGGTGCTTGGGGCTGGTGCACTGGGAAGACCCAGAGGGATGGGATGGGGAGGGAGGTGGGAGGGGGGATCGGGATGGGGAACACATGTAAATCCATGGCAGATTCATGTCAATGTATGGCAAAAACCACTACAATATTGTAAAGTAATTAGCCTCCAACTAATAAAAATAAGTGAAAAAAATAAATTAAATAAAGCAAGGGGGAAAAAAAAGAGTGTATTTCAAATTTTTAAAGACTTTTTCTAACAAAACCTTTGTTGAGTATCTATTGTGTGTGCCTATGCAATATTGTTCTTTAAAACATCAGACTTTTCTTCCATCACCACTCACATCCACAATGTGAAATGTCTGTTCATTTCCAAGGCAAACCATTCAATACCACAGTAATCCAANCCAGTAAATTTGGAAAACTCAGCAGTGGCCACATGACTGGAAAAGGTCAGTATTCATTCCAATACCAAAGAGAGGTATTGCCAAAGAGTATTCACACAGCTGCACGCATCTCACACACTAGCAAATGCTCAAAATTCTCCAAGCCAGGCTTCAACAGCACATGAACCGTGAACTTCCAGATGTTCAAGCTGGATTTAGAAAAGAAGAGGAATCTGAGATCAAATTGCCAACATCCATTTTATCATCGAGAAAGCAAGAGAATTCCAGAAAAACATCTACTTCTCCTTCATGGACTACACTAAAGCCTTTGACTATGTGAACCACAACAAACTGTGGAAAATTCATCGAGAGATGGGAATACCAGACCACATTACCTGCCTCCTGAAAAATCTGTAGGCAGGTCAAGAAGCAACAGAACCAGACATGGGACAACAGACTGGTTCAAAATTGGGAAAGGTGTATGTCAAGGCTGTATATTGTCACTGTGCTTATTTAACTTATATGCAGAGTATATCTTGAGAAACGCTGGGCTGGATGAAGCACAAGCTGGAATCAAGATTGCCGGGAGAAATATCAATAACCTCAGATATGCAGATGACATCACCCTTATGGCAGAAAGCAAAGAAAAACTAAAGAGCCTCTTGATGAAAGTGAAAGAGGAGAGTGAAAATGTTAGCTTAAAACTCAATATTCAGAAAACTAAGATCATGGCATCTGGTCCCATCACTTCATGGCAAATAGACAGGGAAACAATAGAAACAGTGACAGACTTTATTTGGGGGGCTCCAAAATCACTGCAGACGGTGACTTCAGCCAGGAGATTAAAAGACACTTGCTCCTTGCAAGAAAAACTATGACCAATCTGGACAGCATATTAAAAGGAGACATTACTTTGTCGACAAAGGTCCATCTAGTCAAAGCTATGGTTTTTCCAGTAGTCATGTATGGGTGTGAGGTTGAACCATAAAGAAGGCTGAGCACCGAAGAATTGATGTTCCTGAACTGTGGTGTTGCAGAAGACTCTTGAGAGTCCCTTGGACCACAGAAGATCCAACCAGTCCATCCTAAAGGAAATCAGTCCAGAATATTCACTGGAAGGACTGATGCTGAAGCTGAAGCTCCAATACTTTAGCTACCTAATGCAAAGAGCCAATTCATTAGAAAAGACCCTGATGCTGGCAAAGACTGAAGGCAGGAGGAGAAGGGGACAACAGAGGACAAGATGGTTGATGGCATCACCGACTCAATGGACATGAGTTTGAGCAAGCTCCAGCAGATAGTGAAGGACAGGGAAGTGTGGCATGCTGCAGTCCACAGGGTCACAAAGAGTCGGACATGACTGAGCAACTGACCAACAACAACACTGTATATACCCACTCAAAATAAAACTTAATGGCATTTTGACTGAGTCAGACTTTGAATTCCAGAGTCATCTGATGGCACACCCAGATTAAACTTATGCTCTGTTTTTTAAGTGATATACATCCAAAAACAAGAAATGCTTGGGATGTTTTCACTGAGAAGCATCTCACCCAAGTATAACCTTCAAATGCACAATTGCAGTCAGCTAAATATATACAACCAATCTCATTGTCAACATCACTTTTTCAAAATAATCATTACCATAAAGTAAAGGAAAAAAGGAAAGTGAAGCCACTCAGTCATGTCCGACTCTTTGCGACCCCATGTACCATACCCTACCAGGCGCCTCTGTCCATGGGATTTTCCAGGCAAGAGTATTGGAGTGGGTTGCCATTTCCTTCTCCAGGGGATCTTCCCGACCCAGGGATCGAACCCAGGTCTCCTGCATTGCAGGCAGACACTCTGCCATCTGAGCCCCCAGGGAAGCCATCATTACTGTGGTGTGGATCGAAGGAAGTCTGTGACATCATCCCTACCTACGGGATTTAACAATCACAGAGGACTTAACAACATAAGGTTCTGGGCCAGGTTTTGTGGGAAATTTTTAAATTATAATTAGAGATTTTAATACCTCCCCTCAATAACTGATACACAACTAGACAGAATTATCAACAAAGATACAGGTGATTTAACAAAACTATCAAACAATTTGCCTGGATTAACATCTATAGATCACTTCATCCATACCTGCAGAATATGTATTCTTTTCACGTGCACAAGGAACATTTACCAAACTATACCACATTCTTAGCCATAATAGAAGTCTCCATAAATTCAAAAAGATTCAAGTCCCACAAAGTCTATTCTCTGATCACAACAGAATTAAGTCAGAAATGAATAACAAAAATGTCTGAAAAAATCCCCAAATATTTAGAAACTAAATAACAAATTTCTAAATAATCTTTGTCTCAAAGAAAAATAAAAGGGGAAACGAGAAAGAATTTTGAACTTACAAAAAAAAAACGCAACACATCAGGATTTGTGGTAAGTCACTAAAACAGAAACTTTAGCTTAAGATACTAGCAAAAGAAGAGCAAATTAAAACCAAAGTACGCACAGGGTATGGGATTCAGAGATAGAAACTACTATGTATAAAACAGATAATCAACAAGGGTATACTGTACAGCACAGAGAAATATAGACATTATATTGCATTAATTTTAAAGGGAGCATAGCCTATAAAAATACTGAATCATTATGCTGTGTACCTGAAACTAATACAATATTGTAAATCAGTTATATTTCAGTAAAACTTTTAATTCAATTTAAGAAAACAAATAAGCAGAGGAAAGAAAACAATAGAGATGAAAGGATAAATAAAACAAAACCAGAAAAACAAAAGTGTATAATTAAGAAACCAAAAGCTGACTCTTTGAGAAGATTAATAGAACTGAATAAACTTCTAGCCAGACTCATCAGGAAACTAGGATAAGAAGAAAGAAAATACAAACTGCAGTTATGAACATTAAGAGAGGTGACATCAACACAAAGTAGATATATATATTAAGAGAACAGTGGGGAATAACAGTAGTAACTTTGTGCTGAGAAATTTAACAACGTACATGAACAGACAAATTTGTGTGAAGACACAAAAACCCAAAGCTCACTAAGATATGGACAAACCGAACACCCCTTTATCCGTAAAGGAAGATGAAATTATAGTTAAAAGCTTTCCCACAGAGAAAACTGTAGCCCCAGACGGCTTTCCTGGGAAATTCAAGCCTCCCTGGGAGCTTGGCTCAGACGGGAAGTAAGAGCTAAGGCAGAGCTGTAAACGGCCCGCCTGGGCACTGAAGCGCGCCCCCGGTACACACACAGGGCCCGACAGCAAAGGCTGGGACACTGGCTAGCTCCAAACATGAGGCCAGCTGTACCATCATGATCTGACTGCTAAGAAAACTGAACAGAGATTCAACTAGAGAAACTGTTCAGGAAAGTCACAAAGCAAATGAGCAGCAGCAACCGTGACAAAAAGCAACAACCACAAATGCTCGAGAGGAGAAAGAATCTGATGTCCAGAGTGTCCAGATTATTTTATGTAACGTGTCTAGCTTTGAACAAATCATTATGATATTTGCAAAGAAACAGGAAAAAATGGCCCATATACAGGTATAAAAGCAGTTGACAGAAACTATGTCTGAGAAAGGCTAGTCATTACCTATTAGATATTACAGTTCCTAGACAAAGACATTAAATCAGGTATTTAAAAATGTTCAAAGAACTGAAGGAAACCATATCTAATGAGTAAAGGAGAGATCTGCCTTTAGAATGTCAGTGTGAGGAGCTCCATAAATATGCTCCCAGTGAAAGTGGTGAAAATTATTTAAATAATAATAATGCTAAAGTCTGGAAATGATCCTAAGGGCACACTACAAATACAGAAATGTTCAAGAAAATATATTAAAACTCAGTATGAGCATCAAGAGTACACGGCATTTAAACCACAAGCCATCCCTCCCTGTCCCTCTCGGGCTGGACTGACGAAAACTCCAGGCCAAGTAGAAACGGCCAAGAACACAGGACTCCCTCCCTCCCAGTTCCCAGGTGAAGGCGACAATATCTGTGGGAGAGAAGCCGAATATCAGGATTTCTCATGCCCTTTCCGGAGAAGGCAATGGCAACCCACTCCAGTACTCTTGCCTGGAGAATCCCAGGGACAGAGGAGCCCAGTGAGCTGCCGTCTATGGGGTCGCACAGAGTTGGACACGACTGAAGCGACTTAGCAGCAGCGGCAGCAAGCCCTTTCCCTCAGCTACTTGCAGAACTAGCAGAATTTCTTTACAACCAAAGCTGCAAGGAAGATTTCCACGTAGCTGGGTAGAATGGGGGAAAAAGGCATGAGGTTGGGTCCTTCACCCCCGAGACGAATCTGAAAGGAAGAGAAGGTTTGCACAGGTGGACCCTCAGCCCGGAGAGTGACCAGGTCAAGCCACAGACTGGTCATCCCAGTCCTGGGATCCTACACGGAAAAGAAAAGCTCCTTTATTTTTTTAAGGTGTTCAGTTACGTCTTATGCTTTTTTCCCCCCAATACTAACAAAGTGAATTAATCCAATAAAAACAACAAAGAATTACCATAGTTTCAACGATGATGGTGAGGTTACCTAAGCCATCCGTCAGAGCTACATAGCTTCCTCCTCTCTCTAAATGGCCGACTGTCTTCAGGTAATACCAACCTGGTTGAGTAAACTGAGTGGTATGAGCTATAGAAAAGCAGAGAAAGACCCAAATAACATTAAAGTGGTGATAATAGGATTCTTCCAGAAATAAAAAGCTATCTACTTACTTGAAAAGAGGACAGAATATGCCACCACAAAATGTGCCACTTTAGCATGTGTATTATTTTGGACTGCTGGCAATCAAGACCCAGAAGACTAAAGAAAAAATTTCTCTCTCCTTCAACTGCCTGAAAGAATCTAGACAGAAGACCCAGCCCAGAAAGAGAGCTATTACCAGCAATAACTTTTTATCTGAAAGACTTATCTGCAAGGCAGAGCAAATGTCTGTTCTTCTCTTCCTATGAATGGTCTTCTTCCCCTGTGAAGCTCCAGGTCCCTCTCATTCCTTGGCTTAGGATGGCATTTATAAAGCCTGAATTGCCTGACTGCAAACTTGAGTCCCATATTTTTACGTACAAAATTAAATGTGTAAATTAAATGTGGTTTTTTTTTTCCTGGTGATCTGTCTTTTGTCCATTATTAGATTGACCAAAGAACCAAGAAGGTTAAAAGGAAAACTTTCCCAAGTATGACTGAGTCTAACAGCTAATTTCTATTTTGGAAAAAATATTTGCCAGCATCATGTTTCAACTTTTGAGTAATTAGCCTAGTTAAATGGTATAACTATGGGAATATTCTTAGAATGACTGGTAAAAAAATAAATAAACCACACTCTGTCAGTTCAAGACTACTGAAAAACTGCTTTATTTCAACAGCAAATAAAGTTACCTCCTGCCAGTTTTTGTTGATCTCTATTTAAACCACCTTAATATAACTACAAAGAATATGGTTTTCAAAAAGTTGATAAAATACTTCAAAAACTAAGCTTTATGGTTTTAAACAAGTTTATTTTCACAATACTTATTTATTGGGCACTTCCATAGCTTGTCCTAGAAATGTACTGAGTGAGACTCCTCGTTTCATTTTGGGAAGTGACAAAATTAACCCCCCAAGAAACAGTGACAAAATTATAAAAGTACATTAGTTCATTGAAATAATGTGGGACCAACTATTTCAACATTTAAGGAGTTAACCAATCAGGATATACAAATTCAAAACTTAGCATTTTCATCTTTATTAAAGAACAACCTGAGTTTAGAATAATGTCATGACTACAAATCTCTGTGAAAAATACATCAACTGGGAAAAAGAGCCTGGTCTTAGAAGAATCAAGAATGGAATACACAGAGTAGCTTAGTTACCCAAAAGAGTCTTATAAAACACTAGGACAAATCTGGCTAAAACAGAGATACACTTAAAACTAACGTGTGTGTGCACACACACGTGCGCGTGCACACACACATATGCAGTGTTTCTGTAACTCCCTCTAGGTGTTTTCTGCTTTGTCTCTCAGAAAGAAAGTCAGGGAGTGAGAGAGGGAATCTGAACCATACCTGATACCCAGATAGGAGCTTCTACTACGTAGTGCCCGCTCCATGGCTCTTGGGCAGTCATCAGTCCACAACGCCCATACGGCAACTGCTGATAGTAACTAGCCACCAAATTCCAAGCAATGGTTCTAAAAGATTGTTTGGTAAAAGAGAAACACCAAAGCAGCTTGTAATAAAAATGTAAATGTCTAGAAGCCTATAGTATAAAAGACCTTAGCAAAGTTTATACAAATATATGTAAGTGGTAAAATTACCACCCAAAACAAGAAGAAAATTTAAGTTGCCTAAGTTCACCCATATTTTGAAAAATCAAGCAATGGATGCAATCATTTTAATAGTGAATCATATAATAAAAAATACAAATGTATATGAGGTGTACAATTTTTACTGCACAACTGTATAACCAGAAAAAGAGTCACGACCTAACAGTACCACATATGGCACAAATGTGAGTCAAATACAGATAAAGACTTTATCTATACCTGCTTTCTTTTTGACAGTCAGGCTTCTTAATGGCCCAGTTGCATGACATAATTTCATCACCTGACTCAGCTACTGTAAAGTTTTACAATGAGAACAGTCCGACTGCCAGGGTCACGTCACGGTGCAGGCAGACAGGGAAGGGGTTCCCAGAGGAAGAGGACCACACGGAACTCTCTCGACATGAGAGGAGCCTTTTAAGGCCTCAGCCACTTTGTGATCTAAGCCTGCCCACAATGCAATGCTTGCCCCTGTAGAAGTGGTCTCAGTAGTAACTGATTTTAAGGGAACAAAAGCATCTAAGAACAAACAGCTATCACTAGGCCAGGGAGATAACTTAACCATATCTGAGACAATATATCAGACCCCAAAATAAGCTTTATTCCTGTTCGCAGCTTCCTGCCTTTTCTTTCTAGAGCTGACCCATGTTAGGTATAGGATAGATGAACAAAATAAGGCAAATGCTTATAATCACTGAATTTAGGTTGTGAGACTATGGAAGTCCATTGTACTTTTTTCTACTTATTATGCTTTGAAATTTTTCAAAATAAAAACCTTTAAAAGCTTTAATTACTTACGAAGTCATGTAGCCATTGATGTAATTCTGATTCAATATACGACCCCAGCAGCCTGCACCCACATCACCGTTTACAGTGCTAAAATCTTCAGAAGACCACAGCTTCTTCTCAGTCAACCTAGCGTCCTTTACTGTAAGTGTCCCAGGGTAATGAGCTCTAGAAAAGAAAGAGGGGGAGGAAATGCAAAAAGTCAGAACATGGCACTTATGTCTACTTATTGAGTAATACCCTCCCTGTTAGCTCAGCTGGGAAAGAATCCGCCTTCAAGGCAGGAGACCCGGTTCAATTCCTGGGTTGGGAAGATCCTCTGGAGAAGGGATAGGCTACCCACTCCAGTATTCTTGGGCTTTCCTGGTGGCTCAGCCAGTAAAGAATCTGTCTGCAATCAGGGAGACCTGGGTTCAATCCCTGGGAAGCAAAGATCTCCTAAAGAAGGGAACGGCTACCCACTCCAGTATTCTGGCCTGGAGAATTCCATGAACTATTCCCTGGGGTCGCAGAGTCAGATGCAACTAAGCAACTACAATTTTCACTGAGTGAACAAACACACGTGTCTTTGCCAAGGTTTTCTACTTTTAAACAACAGGCAACTTCCAGGTGGATGCCGGGCTGCATGTAAGCACCTGCTCCCCAGCCCTGGGTCTCAGGGTGCCCTGAGGATGAGATGTACTTGCAATGCACAGAAAGCGGGGAAGGCCGTCAGCAGACGAGGGGCTTCTTTCTGGAGACCGTAACAAGAAGGGAAGGGTGTCGGCAGATGGAGACAGCAGAAGAGGCCTAGAAAATTCCAAGAGATGAATGAGGTGGAGACAGGGTTCAGACTTCCCAAGGGATGTAGTGAGCTTGGACAGTACAAAGAAAGGAGTGAAAAAGAAAACCAAAAGTAAGACTTCCCCGGCAACCCAGTGGTTAAGAATCCGCCTTGCAATGCAAGGGACGCAGGTTCAATTCCTGGTCAGGGAACCCACATGCTGTGAAGCAATAATGACAGAAACCCACAGGCCACCACTAGAGAAGTATCACAAGGAAGACCTAGTTCATTTGTTACAAAGAGATATGCTTTTATCTTAAAAAAAGAAAAGAAAAAGACTACTAAGCTTATCACAGCAAGTGTCAATAGTGTTTTCTCCCATGCTCTACCCTTCATACAAAGGAAGACAGCCTGGCATTTATTCCCCGGCAAAAACAAAAACACTAAAACAAAACCAACAAAAACCCACAGAGGACTCTTATTTGAATAAAAATAAGAAGTTATTATCCCAGAGCAGTGGTCGTTCTCAACTTGGGTGATTTTGTCTGGAGGAGAAGGTATGGCAGCACTTGCTACCGTTATCTAGGGCACAGAGGCCAGAGACGCAGCTAAACACCCTACAATGCCCATAACAGGTCCCCACGACAAAGAACTATCCAGCGAAAAATATCAACAGTGTAGAGGTGGAGAAACCCTTCCCAGAGCAATGAACCTCTCCCTTTCCTAGCATATGAGAGGAGTCAACTGAAATATAAGTGTATATTTATTGTTCCAAGAGTAAAATACTGTCATAATGATGGTTGTGAAGTGACTGATTATTGAATATAGAAACAATTAAGAAATTTAAAATGTAAAATAGAAAAGAGGCTAACAGTATAAGAATTAGACAGCACATGAACTCTAGGGAGAAGAGTGTATACTTCTTAAACCAACAACTATTGACAAAAAATTTAACAAAAATACAAGCAAAATAACAGAGACTAAATCATATCACGATTCTTATCTTTGTGGTTTAGTATAGTAGTATTCTTAACATTAAAAGAATGATTGTGAAGACCTATTTTACTCTGGAAAATTCTAAAGGAAATGGGACTACCAGACCACCTTCCCTGCCTCCTGAGAAACCTGTATGCAGGTCAAGAAGCAATAGTTAGAACAGGACATGGAACAATGGACTGGTTTCAAAATTGGGAAAGGACTACATCAAGGCTGTATATTATCACCCTGCTTATTTAACTTATATACAAAGTACATCACATGAAATAGCAGGCTGGATGAAGCACAAGCTGGCATCAAGATTGCCAGGAGAAATATCAATAACCTCAGATATGCAGTTGATATCACCCTTAAGGCAGAAAGCAAAGAAGAACTAAAGAGCCTCTTGATGAAAGTGAAAGAGGAGAGGGAAAAAGTTGGCTTAAAACTCAACATTCAAAAAACAAAGATCATGGCATCCGGTCCCATCACTTCATGGCAAATAGACGGGGAAACAGTAACAGACTTTATTTTCTTGGGCTCCAAANTCCATGGCTTCATAAGGAAAAATGAATATATAATAAAGAATATAAAATAAGGAATCAGAGGAAAATGAGAATCCATCATGGCTTCATTGAATCACTGACCTCAGGTGAAAATAGGCACCTATTCAGTATTGTAAAAATACACAACAGATACTCAAAAAGAAAGCTAGCATCTAACAGGGTTAAGAATTCATGTTCTGGAACTATAAATCCCAAATTGAAAATCTGACAATTCTCTGCAATTACATAATTTTAATAAACTTTAACATTTTGATGATCTGATCTAAGTCACTTCAAAGTCATGTCTGACTCTCTGCGACCCTGTGGACTATAGCCTTTCCAGTTCCTCTGTCCATGGGATTCTCCAGGCAAGAATACTGGAGTAGGTTGCCATGTCCTCCTCCTGGGGATCTTCCCGACTCAGGGATCAGACACGTGTCTCTTATGTCTTCCGCACTGGTAGGCAGGTTCTTTACCACTAACACCACCTGGGAAACCCTTATTCTATATCACAGAACTTCATTCTATGATCATAATATTCAGTTTTGACACCTCAAAAAAATGCTAATTTTAAGACTCATCTAGTTATCACTCAGTCAAATGTATATCTTCTATGTCTCTGGTAAAAATAAAAAATATTTATATAAAAAATAATACCTTGTAAAATAATATGCTATTATGCTATTAATGATCTCTAGATATTAAGATTATGAGTAAGTTCCAACTCTATAGTTTTCTACAGTTTCCAAATTTTCTATAAAGAGTATGCATTATTTTTAAAACCCCAAAAAGCATCTCTTTCAAAGCTATAGTAATAGGTATTATATCTCTCATTCAGAAAATAAAGAAACTTACATTTTAAACCTGAGTGATTTATCAAATGATCTGAGAAAAGAGGGGTAGAACTGATACTAAAACTCAGGTCTCTTGTGATGCCCAGATCTATAGTTCAACAAAATAATGTAAAAGTTCTTTAAGAATATAATTTTTAAATGCATATAATTAGGCAAAACGTCTATTATCTCATGGCATGATTTTTCAAACTTTAAATGGCAAGATTAAGGTCGCTGAAAGTAAACCAAAGTTTATCCTATCAGAAAAACATATGTGTATTACAGGAGAAATAGAACTTATAGACAAGGTGGATTGTGGTAGCAGCCCAGTTTCTGAAACTCCCCACAATACTCCTCCTGAAACCAAACAGACCCATCTGATGACGGAAATTAAAACCCACAGACAATACGCCCATCAAAACCAGGTGACAGCGAGTCCCCAGGAGTCCTGCAGCAGTGGGGTGGGCAGACAGAATGTGGAAACAGGGGAGGCGACAGGTGACCAACAGGCACTCATTCCACAGAGGCGGCCCCACCCTGAGCGGAAGCACCAGCAACAACCAGCTAAAGGGCAAAGGTCTTCACAGGCTGGAAATTGGGGCCAAGGCCCCAACAATAAATTCACTAAGAGGTTAAACATGATACTGTGACAGTTTAAACTGGATTGGACAAGTAGGAATACAATGTGAGCTATACAAAGTAATTTTAAATCTTCCAGTAGCTACGTTTTTAAAAAACAAAATTTTAATCATATATTTTGTTTAACCCAATATACCCAAAATACTATCATTCAACACATGTAATCAATATGAAAAATCATTAATAACTTACTTTTCTATTATTAATATATCTTTAAAATTTGGTGTGTGTTTTACACTTATAACACTCCTCAGTTCAGACTAACCACATTTCAAGCGTTCCATAAACAGCTGTGGCTAGCGGTCCCCATAGTAAACAATACAAACTGAAACTCTTAACTATTTCAGAATAGGCAGCAAATAATCTAAGCTATGGATTTTCCAGTAGTCACGTATGGATGTGAGAGCTGGACCATAAGAAAGGCTGAGCACCAAAGACCCTGTTGAACTATAGGGTTGGAGAAGGTGCTTGAGAGTCCCTTGGACAGCAAGGGGATCCACCCAGGAAATCAGGAAATCAGTCCTGAATATTCATTGGAAGGACTGACGCTGAAGCTGAAGCTCCAATCCTTTGGCCACCTGATGGGAAGAACTGACTCACTAGAAAAGACCCTGATGCTGGGGAAGATTGAAGGTCGGGGGAGAAGGGGACGACAGAGGATGAGATGGTTGGATGGCACCACTGCTCCAACTCATGTCCACTGAGTCAAACTCTGGGAGATAGTGAGGACAGGAAAGGCTGCTGTGCTGATGTCCATGGGGTCACAAAGAGTCGAACACCACTGAGCGACTGAACAACAACAAATCCTTTCTGGAATGGTAGAGTCTCACCATGAGAATAAGCTCTGTGAATTAGAATCCAAATCGAGCAAGACAGGAACACTTACGGTGAGGGAGAGACAACACTGCCTTCATAATTTCTAAAATGTAAACACTACTCTGCCCCTTAATCTAAATAAAATCATGTTTTGTATTTCTGAACACTGACACAGTATTTCAAAAGTCATCAATACATTATTACATTGTCATAGAAAGATTCCCAAAATACACCAAAATATATACCTTTCAAAGAAGAAAAGGAATGAAGCATCATCTCTATATGCTTTAGTTAAGTAAATACAAGAAAGCAACCTTCTACAAATATAATTGAAAGGGGAGAAGCAGGCAAAAACAAAGGCACCATCAATAGTCAGAGCAAACAACAGAAACTGTTCATTCTCAAAGTAAAACATTCCTTACCCTATTACATCAATCACCTTCAAGAGCTCAGGGTCAAGCAGCATAGAAGCAGAAATGGGCTCCCAGAGATTATCACTCGCTATGATTTTCACGTGCTGGAGACCTTGATGGTTCAGCATTCTTCTTAACACCTTTCAGAGAGATAAGCAGAACACAGGAAAGGTTAAGAATGAGTTTTCAGCTGCTGACTTACGACCAAGTGAGCTGAAGTGTCTTCAGATTCAACAAGCAGGATGAGAGTGTCAACATTATTTCTCAACAGAAATGCAGCCCGTGTGGAGAGGTAAAAAAGCACTATCACTAAGATAATCTACTTCATGGGAATGTAAAAAGAAATGTGAAATGTCAAGTCTGGGAAGATGAGCGCTCATCCCTGCAGCGACACGGTCCACCTGACTACAGGGCTGCACGGGACATGGGCACTAACCTGGCTCTGCCCTGTCTTCCTGCTGCCCTCATCAGACCTGCACTCATCCTACTCCCAGCGCGCCACGTGCGACCCTGCGCTTCAGTCTTACACTGCTCCACTGGCCCCTCCGCAGCCCCCCACCCCCACCGCCGCGCTCACCCCTCCCCTGGCAACGCCTGCCCCCTGCAGGTAGCTTTGAGTTACCTGGCTCTGGCTGCAGTCAATCCTCTCAATCTACGCCTTCTCCTCCACACAGCTAGTGACTAAATCGTGCCGTTAATCCAAAACATACCGGCCTACTGATGGCTCAGTGCCCCTACTGGTCTAATCCATCTTTCTCCACTTGCTCTGCCCCCAAACCCCGTGACCTCTCAGTCTTCACGCCTTCCCAATGGCATGGTCTGCCTTAGCAACTTGTGGAGCGCCTATCCATCCCAGCTTGAAGATGCCAGCTAGTCTTTAAAGAGAATTCCCTGATCCTCAGGTGCAGGCATCGCCTCCTCTCTGCACCTTCTGACAAGCCCTCTATGTGCATGATTCTGCTAAACAAATCATGACTGATTTTTCAGCTGGTCATATGAGACTCTACAGTCCCCAGATGTGAACTCCTTTTGAGGAGAAAACATATCCTTGTATTCCAAGCATATATACAATGTCTGACAAACTAGGTGTTGAGTAAATGCTTCCTGGCTGATGGACTGAATAAATAAACGAAATAAATTTAGTGGATACTACATGCTTAAGAGAATAAGACACTCAATTTAAAGAAAAAAAAAATAACTGAAAAAAAAATGTGACCACGAAATTCTATTTCTTAGAGAAAAGACATATAAAACAAGACAAACAAAACTATGAAGTAAACCAGAGACTATCTCCACTTGAAAAGTTAAACTGCCATTTGTTTTCCAGTGATTGAAAGGGTTATTACTCTCAGATTTTCCTTTCCTAAAAAATAGCAACAACAGTAGCTACCCCTTAAAGGAGGCAGTTAAGAAGTAGAGAGAGATACATATTTAGGGAAAGTACCTCAAAAAGAAACACACTTTGCAAATATTAGTTGCTATCTATTTGCTAATCACAAATAGAAAAATACAACACACTCCAATGTAACAGGCATTCCAAAGAAAACAAGAATGAGATAATATACTACAAATTTGATACATGACAATAAAAGAAAAAGGTACATTTCTTGAAGTTCTAAAAATCTAAATGATATAGTTGTTTCATAACAATTATCATAATTATATAAATATTGAACTTTTAAATAGAAAAATATACCACAACTCTATTGACAAAGGCAATTTTTGGGGGGATTAAAAGGAATTATATAATTTTATGTTACAACTGGCAAATCACATCACTGTGCTATAAAAAATACAGTGTTCCTCCTACTGATTTCCATGAAACTATAAAGGAATTTTTCACTAATAACTTAAAGATAAAAAGATTTTAAAGTTGTACAGACCTTGATATAATTAATGTCAAATGCCCTCTCATTCCAAATCTACAAAACAAAAAGTCAAAATGTCAGAATTGTAAGATTTTGTGTCAGAAAATAAACACTACCACTAAGATGCCTCTTCTCTCACCATCTTTCATATTATCTGGAAAGCCATTTTTCTTACTTAATAGAGTATCCTACTATTAAATTTATAGATGTTTATAAGACAACATAATTTTAATTAAAATAGTATTTTTAAAAACCTTAACATATTTGGAGGGTATTTTTCAAAATGTCACTTACTCCAGTGATTTCTAAAAATGGACTGTTGAAATCAGTCCATAAAGACCGGTGAAACAGTGTATGCCAGGAACTACAGCATGCACTGGGCCCTCACCACACCTAGGGCTGTGGCAGTCATTCTTACCGGTCCCTACACACACACCTGAAAGCCAAGGATGAATAAGGACACTGCAGAGGACTCATGTTTTTAGCACACACAGAGAATCACAATGACGTGCTACATCATGAAAGCAAACTCTTAGTGAAGACAGATAAAAGGAACATGCACTAATCTCTTAGGCTTAGAATCACATAGCATGAGGTTTTAATGTTGAAACAGAAGTTTGCTAAGACTTTCATTTTGCATCTGAGAGATGGGCCTAGGTTTCAAATAGTCTTTTCACTCCAGTGATTCTGGTGGTGGTGGTTCAGTTGCTGAGTCGTGCCCGACTCTTGCAGCCCCATGGACAGTAGCCCGCAGGCTCCTCTGTCCGTGGGATTCTCCAGGCAGGAAGACTGGAGTGGGTTGCCATGCCCTCCTCCAGGGGATCTTCCCGACCCAGGCCTCCTGCACTGCAAGCAGAGTCTTTACCAACTGAAAAGTGATCTGACACGTGGTTATGAAGAGTCTAAAAGAGATGTGAATAACCCATTTTCTAACAGAAACATTTTCTCTGACTTTACCATAATAGAACGTTGCAGGACTCACGCCTGCATTTAGTTTCACCATGGGTTAAAAATATTTGTGTTCTCAAACACAACAGACTAATTTTCAGTTATAGTCTAGAGAAGTATAACAGAAACAGTGTGTCCCTGCTTCCGGCTTCCTGCAGCCCCAGTCTGCCCTCAGGCCCCACACCACGTCTAGGATCTGCAGCGTGCCTGCTGCAGCGTCCAGCCCTCTCACCCAGCTCCTCCAGGGCTTATTAACCGTGCTGTCCCCAGACACGTCAGTCACAGCGCCTGCAACACAGCAGCAGCTCTGTCATTGCTGGCTAACTGCAGGAAAGCTTTTAAAACCAATTTTGACAGCATACTTATTAGCCAAAGTGTATAGAGACCCGCTATGTGTGTGTATAAGGCTCCGTAGGGGCACAGTGCAGGATGAGGCATGCCTCCAGCCAGCCAACAGACCAGCTAGAAACACAAGATGCTATGGCTCACATTTTTAAATCATTAAAAACTATTAAGTAACAACTCAGGACAAGGGTAGGCATATTTCTAACAACCTGCCTAATCAGACCCACTATTCATATTTTTTACAGCCTGAAAGCTAAAAATGGATTTTATAATTTTAAGTGGTTATATTTTAAATGGTTATATAATTACCTACATAATATCCTTAATATTGCTTTCTGATCCACAAAACTTAAAATATCTACTCTCTAGCACTTTTAGAAGTCTGCTACCCTCTACTTTAGGACCACAGAAGATTGAGGGAGCAAAATGAGATTAATCACTAAACTATAAAAGTAAACACATTATTGTTTTAAGAATTATTAACAGAAAAACTAGGGAAAGTTTAGAAGAAGAAGCATTTGAGCTGGGGTGGTACCAAAAACAAAACAAAAACAAAAACAGTGCAGGGAGGCATAAACTACATATAGGTTTCAAAAGTGGGAAGATTTGGATAGATAGAGAGGAAGGATCAATGGTGACATAGAGATAATTTGTCAACAGACATCAACAGAACAAATTAGTCTCAGGACACAATGATGTCAACAAAGTGCCAGAAATTACTTTTAAAAATTATAAATAAATGTCCAAAGCTTAATCATGTTCTGAAAAATATATTACTGACTCCGATATAATCAATGTCCAGATCGTGATAATGCTTGGACCCCACAATCCAGGTCACGATGTAGTAGGCTGTCAGCTGAAGATTGACGTAAGGCCAGTTGAAGCCCTTCCCCAGCCATCCAGGGAACGACCACGGCAGCCCTGTGGAGACGAACGGGCAGAGTTGGAGCAGGTGCCGCAGTGCAGCACCACGAAAACCAGAGCAAAACAAACAGAAAGGAACCAACACGGGCTATGCAGACAGTCAATACAGGTCTGACCAAAGGAAAGATGCCATACCAGGCACAAACTCTCAAAATCCCTCCCAGCTTATGGACATAATATTTCCTTACTGATCCTGAGAGTCAGGTTCCATGATTCTAAGTGCTCTTTCAATAAAAAGAAATTAAAAAAAAACAAAAACCCTTTTCTCAATGATATTTACCAACAGAAACAAATGTAACATATAATTTAATATCCCCACACCTGCTAAAAAGATATTCAATGTACAATTTTTGTTCTCTGAATGCAAATCAAAGAGTTTTGAAAGGTTTATGCTTAACCTGGTGACTCAGACAGTAAAGAATCCGCCTGCAATGCAGGAGACCCCGGTTTGATCCCTGGGTCAGAAAGATCCCCTGGAGAAAATGGCTATCCACTCCAGTATCCTTGCCAGGAGAATTCTATGGACAGAGGAGCCTGGCAGGCTACAGTCCATGGGGTCACAGAGAAGTGGACGTGACTGAGCAACTAACACTATGCTTAAGACTTCTGTGAGGCAAGAACAATACAAATTCTCACTCACTACTACATCTTCTTACAACTTGAAGCTATTTAAATACTAATTAGTAAGGTAATCAAATTTTGCAAAACTAGTTTTTCTTTATGGCAATATAAGTGCCAGTGACTCAATAGGGAAATATGCCGTTGTTATATGTCATTGAACAAATAATACACATTCTTCTAATACCCCAGTTATTATTAAGTTTTAAAAAAAAGAGAGAGAGAAAAGCAGCACTAATTATGACTCTAAATCCTAATTCTCTTACTAATATATTAAAATAAGGTCAACATTAAGTTCCTTAACTGTTAATATGTTACCAATCTAGTTAACCACTGAAAAAAATTAAAATCAAAATGACAAAATGCTTATTTTTCTAAACTCTAGAAGAAAGCCTAAGTTGTACCTACACAAGAAATGTGACATTAAAATAATGGAATGTTTTAAAACTGTGAAATACCAAATACATTCTGAAGGCCCGCCATGAGTAAGTCTTTGTTAGGAGAGGGTTCAGCCTGCCAGATTTTCTGCATTTAAATGAGAACTGACCTTGAAAGCAGCCGAGGGGTCAAGTATGTGCTGAAGTCAATGATGCTTTTTACTGCTCAATTTCTGAAAACTCTTACAAAAGTCCATTTAGAAAGAACACACTGACTCCTCATTTTTTTAACTTAGAAAAACTTACACTTGTCCTTTGATGGTTGAAAATGATTTTTAAAATAACGTGAAGTTAACCCCTATAAGTTAGGACCATCAGCAATAAAAAGAAATGCATAAAGGCAAAATGGTTGTCTGAGGAGGCCTTACAAGTAGCTGAGAAAAGAAGAGAAGCTAAAGGCAAAGGAGAAAAGGAAAAATATACCCATTTGAATGCAGAGTTCCAAAGAACAGCAAGGAGAGATAAGAAAGACTTCCTCAGTGATCAGTGCAAAGAAATAGAGGAAAACAGTAGAATGGGAAAGACTAGAGATCTCTTCAAGAAAATTAAGAGATACCAAGGGAACATTTCATGAAAAGAAGGGCTCAATAAAGGACAGAAATGGTATGGACCTAAGAGAAGCAGAAGATATTAAGAAGAGGTGGCAAGAATACACAGATGAACTGAACAAAAAAGATCTTCGTGACACAGATAATTACGATGGTGTGATCAGTCACCTAGAGCCAGACATCCTGGGATGTGAAGTCAGGTGGGCCATAGGAAGCATCACTACGAACAAAGCCAGTGGAAGTGATGGAATTCCAGTTGAATTATTTCAAATCCTAAAAGATGATGCTGTGAAAGTGCTGCACTCAATATGCCAGCAAATTTGGAAAATTCAGCAGTGGCCACAGGCCTGGAAAAGGTCAGTTTATGTTCCAATCCCAAAGAAAGGCAATGCCAAAGAATGTTCAAACT